TTGAGGGGTGTTCTTAATCTTTGTGTGTATGTGTGCATGGGGGAGTACCTGTTCATGTTGTGAGTGCAGTCACACCTGTGGAGGTCATAGAACAACCTTGGGGTGTTGGTCCTTGCCTTCCACCTTGAGACAGAATCTACTGTTGTTTGCCATTGCAAATGTCAGGTTAGCTGGCCCACAAGCTTCTAGGGATTCTCCTGTCCCTGCCTCTCATCTCACTGTAGGAGCACTGGGGCATGGGGGAGTACCTGTTCATGTTGTGAGTGCAGTCACACCTGTGGAGGTCATAGAACAACCTTGGGGTGTTGGTCCTTGCCTTCCACCTTGAGACAGAATCTACTGTTGTTTGCCATTGCAAATGTCAGGTTAGCTGGCCCACAAGCTTCTAGGGATTCTCCTGTCCCTGCCTCTCATCTCACTGTAGGAGCACTGGGATTATAGGTGCATGAAACTATATCCAGCTTTTCATGGGTTCTGGGGAATCCTAACTCAGACCCTCACACTTCCACAGCAAGCACTTAACCCACTGAGCCACCTCCTTAGTCACTAATGTACTGTTTTACTTAAAAATTATTAGATGAGAAGCTAGGAGAGATGGCTCAGCAATCAAGAGCATTTACAGGTCTTACACAGGACCTGAGTTTGGTTCCCAGTATCCACCACAGCCTGTAATGCCAGCTCCAGGGAATCTGACAATCCCCTTCTAAACTCTGCAGGTACCCACATGCACATGCAAATACACACAGAGAGACATACATACAAACATAAATAGTTTTAAAGAAAGAGTGGCTGAGACAAAGTACAATTAGCATACACAGAGAGTGGTGCCACAGAGTATGACAGAAGCTCCACTCAGCTGAACCTAAGAGCCAATGGGTGTCAGTTCTCTCACCTCTCCATCTGGTCCCAGGGCAGACTCCCCTCCTTCTGCATTCTCTTCAGCCTTCTGCAAAACAACAATCAAGAAAACAGGACAATTTGACATTATGTCCATTTAACACAGCAACAGCAATAGGTTTACCCCTAGAACCTGCAAGCTACCCAACCACGGTTCTTGACCGGATTTACAGTACTAGGCATGTGTGCCCTCCTAGGGAGTAGGCTAAAGCATGCACTATATTAGCAACCTGCAGAGTCATTCAAAGTCAGATGTGAGTCAAGGCCGCACTAGAGATCTATGGATTGCATCTTTAGGGGCACATAGAACTTAAGACACGGCATCATCAAGCTAGCAGAATCAGAAATATTTTCTCAAGTCTGGCACTCGGAAGACAAATCCTGACGTACTTAGCTTGACTTTCCTATTCCCTAAGCAAGGTTGCATCAGCAATGAAGAACAGCATTCTAAAATTGTCCATTAAGAATAAGCTCTGAACCATGGATCTGTTACAAAAATACAAAATAAAACAAAATTCTCTCGGCTCCCTGGCTGTTTTCCATTCTACCTAATTGGCTTTCATAACATAACAGTATTTCCGTAGTATGTGGGGAAATCAGTGCAGACACTGTGATCACATGAAAAATTCGTCATCCACCATTTCTTAAATATTCCAGTGCCTTAGTCCATTAACCTCTATGTGCCTCAAAGACAGCCAAATGAGAAACTCAGATTATGTCACATTTTACACAGACTCAAGACAAACTCATCTGTAATATATACAAAACAGTCAAAAATTTCTTCCATTTACAACACCTTTCTGACAGGTGAAATATGTAACTTTTACAGAACCTTTATTTTTAAATTATTACTAAAAATAAGAGAGAAAAAAACTATAGTGACTTCTTTTACCAAGATATTGAAGAAAACAAGCTATCTTTAGCTAATTGAAAATGTATATAGTAATAAGTCATCAGGTTCAACTCATTTTTGTTTACTTAAGACATTCATTCTATTAACACTTTTCTGTCATCTATGAAAATAATTGCATTTTAACAAAGAAACTTTACTGAAAATGTTGAATGTTTAAAATTTAGCCTTTTTCTACACTGAACAGTTCCATAAACGTGTGGCATTTAAGTTCTTTCATAATGTAATTTATAATTTTCTTACCAAATATGCATATACAATCAATCTCTCTCACTCTCTTGCTCTCTTGCTCTCTCTCTCTCTCTCTCTCTCTGTCTTTGTCTCTGTGCCTGTCTTTGTCTCTCTGTGGGTCTGCCTTCTTCCCACATATAGTTTTAAAGGTTTTCATTCAGATCCCAGCTCTTGCCTCTGTGTTGCCTGTTTTTATGTCTTCTTTGCAAGGATGGAGTCTGTTCTTAATGGAATTTTGAGACAAAAACAAGCCAAAAAACCTATTTGTTTCTTAAGTTCCTTTTGGTCA